TGCCATTAAGACAAAAAGCCTGGCAGGATTAAGAATAGATAAAAAGTGACAGAAACTACATGAAGATAGAAATGTATGCCGGGTGTTCAGCCGTGTACTTAAAACTGTTTGCTCCCTGGGGCTACAAAGAAACATCTACTGTGGGAAAGCTAGATGTGAAGATTGTATTTCTTGCACCTTTGGCACTGCAGTGGGTAGGCTGGAGGCTGAGCAATGGACCAATTGAACTGCTTTTAATATGGTTGCTTTCATTTTCCAGAGCAGAGGACACACCTCCATGTACCCAAAATTGCAACCAGAAAACATTCAAAAAGGTTCTGAGCTGCTTCTTTGAATGCTTCTGAGCTTTGAGACAATATAGAAATTACTGGTGGCTAGATAGTCACTCCTTTTGTCTCCCAGACATGCAACCAAGAAATGTATGGATAGGAGATGAGCATAAGAATTGTATTTTGACACAGGTGGAGGAGAATCTAGTGAAATTTATTAGTGCCTTTTGTTAACTGAAATGTGTTCTAAAGTGGTAGTGTTTTAGGGGTAATTAACTGGCATGTATTCTTAATGTGCAGTGTTTTATAGTTCTTAAACTTGTTAAAAATGCTGTCAGCTTCTACTGAAGGTGTAAGATATCACCCCAGGTTTTACAGTGTGTGGCTTTTGGAGGTGCGCAGACAGCCTGCTTTTCTGTGTGATGGTGGGTTGCCTTTGTTTCTGAACTATCTCTGAGGGTTTACAAGCAAACTTCAGAAAGCCTGCAAACTTCACCATGGTGAAGAGTCTGGAAGCTAAAGTTTTATTGTTTCCCATTTACTCTGAGGTTACCCTGCTCTGGAGTTGCAGAGATGTGCAGTGAGGAGTGCCTGTAACAACCCATATACTGGATTATATGGGTGAATTCAGAGGAAGCAAGGGTGAAGAATATAAAGTTTCTAGAAAAAAAAACCAAACAAAACAACAAAAAATGCAGCTGACTAAAATTAGCACTAAAATGCAGTGCTCTTTTTTGACATGGCTGGCTCTGTGCCTCAGTTTCTCACACCACGGATGCGAGAACACCAGTTCTCATGTCTTGAGTTTTGAGTGCAGGTATTTTTGACTTCAGTATGTGATTTGGGTGAAAAACTAAAGTGAGGGCTCATGTTTTATATTCAGTGTACAACCAGATCGTTGTAACAAGGATCTCTGAGATAAAAATAGGCATTAATTCCCATAGTATTTCAGGTATGTTTGGAAGTATGCAATTGCTGAGTGTAAAAATAGTGTGCAATATGTAATAATAGAGTATATTCGTTTGCTGTGATAACACAGGGTGAATTGACACAAGAATGAGATTTCTGCTTTAGTATCATCCTGCAAGCATTCACTCGGTGAAACCTACTAGTCAACAAGGGCTGTAGCACTTGAGCAGTGAAGGCTTTAGGTATGCACAGCCTCAGCAGGCAGCTTACTGGAGGCCACTTACTGGAGATTTTAGTAATTTGTTACCCTTGGTCCATAGGCAAGGTTTTTTTTTTTTTTTGGTTTTTTTTTTTTTAAATCTGAAGTGGATGCTAAGGAAGGTTCCATGTTCTCCAAAACAAGAGTTGCCCTGGGTCCCATTTATGCATCCTACAAAAATCAAAACTCGCGATTGAGACTTGCATCTGTGATTATGCTCAGCTTGCTTATGTTCCATCTTTCCTTTCTGAAACAGGAATGCAGTGTGGGGGAACCTGCTGTGCCGTGATAATGTGTGCATCCCCCGAGGCTTGTCTTTCAGCCTTTTCTGAGAATTAGCCGTGTAAAATCTTTACACTGCCTGATTACAGCAGTGATTGTGGTCCCAACTTACTTTCCAGCTCTCTTCCAAACTCTACCCATGGTAGTACTGTGTAGTAATTGATTAGCTGAACTTCTTGAGTGCCTTGGGCTGAATGGCAGTCTTTGACGCTGTTGCAACATGGGGTGCTTGCGAAAACAGTCTGAATATTACCTACACTGTAGCTGTCCTAGCATAGAATTAAAGAACTATTTAAATGCAATTCATGTTGTTCTTAATATATATATATGTGTAAAGAAAAAGAGGGATACAAATTTGCTCAAGGCTGTTCATGTGTCCTATTTTAGCTATAGCCCAGGAAGTCGGTCTGTCTTTCTCATTGCTTACTTAGAAATTCTATTTTGCAGTTGAATTTCTTGAGTTAAAGCCTGACAATTCTTGCAAAAGTTTAAGATTCAATAAATTGATGTTCAAAAAAAAGTTATTTTAATGAGAAATATTTCTGGCTGGAAATGCCCTTTTCAGTTCTGTTACAGGTCTCTTTCCTATCTCTCTCATTTATAGTAATCCCAGTTACTAGGACAGCTATCTTATCACATGAGTTTAAGTAGAAGATACTCTGCATAGGGATAAGATGCAGATAAACAGACTGATTTTCAGACATATTTGTCTCTGATCATTTATTATGAATAGTGATAACTCCTTGCTTAAAGTATCTATAGTCTTTCTCAAAAGGAAGCTAGCTCCTGAGAAAAAGATCTGCAAGTCTAATTTTCACATGCTAAAATTTTAGCAATGTTTGAGCAAAACTTTTACAAAGTCATAGCAAAAACTCTTATAAGTAACCATTGGAAGATCAATGTAGTGGTGATATAGGCCCAGAGAATTGCTCAGGCTGGATGGAAGCCATTTCTATGACCCTTCTGGGACTTAGAAATGTATGTGTCCAGCAACAAAACAGAGTCTGTTGGAGCCCTGGGCTCTGAGCTTGGTTAGTAAATTGCGAACTACCTAAGCAGGAGGAAAAAAGAAACTCCCCTGCAGTTAAGGCTTGCAAATATTTTTTACTTTTTTTTTCTTCCACTCTTACTGTCTTCCGTCCAGCTGCTTTCTACCCTGAGGGGCTGATGGCAGGAGCTGTGGGGCTGGCTCTTTGACTAATGGTTGAGTCAGTAATTTTTCCCACTGAATTAATGTAGATACCAAAGGAGACAGGGAGAAGACTGTTCTCCTGGGGAAGGGAGCAGCTTGGCAGCAAAGCATGGATATTCCTTTGTGTTGGCGGGATGAGAAAAAGTAGGTATCTCCTATACAACCTGGACATATACACTCCTCTGATGAGTGACACTTAAGTCCTTCCAAATCTGGCTATCCACTTATCAGGCTTCTATCTTTAACAAAGCATTTAGTAGAGAAGTCAGCATATTTGTACAGCATTTACATAAGGAACCTTCAAAACCAAAGAAAGACTTATGTGTCCAAACATTTGTTTCATTCCAACACCCCCCAGCCCGCCAAACCAATTGATTTTAAGAAAGATACAAGTTCATTTCATAAGCCTTGTTTTCCTTACAAAAACAAGAGGAGTCTCCATGCTCCAAAGAAAGCTCAAAAGGAGATTAACTAATTAATTAAGAATCTTTTCTTCTGAGTGCAACAGGATCCAAGAAACAAGTGAACTTTTCATTTCCAGTAATAGCAGAAATTCAATAGCATGACTGTGAGCACCCATGGGACCATAATGTGAGAATGGTCTTTATTAAGGAATAGACTGGGCTTCTGAATATCGTTCTTCCAGTCACTTCCACAGGCTATAAACAGCGCCTCGTTTGTTGCTATTAAAAGAGACTAAAGACAGCTATGCTGAAAAGCATTACTGTTTAAGTAGTCATGGCTTGACATTAATACAAAAATTTTTTTTTGGAAATAAAGTGAATTTGGGTTCTTCAGAACATTATAGTTTTGTTCAGAAATTACTATGTTGGATATTTGTGATATGGGGAGATCATTTTTTTGGCATTGTGTTTTTAGTTTTAATTAATGGTCACTGCCCTTCTGTTTAGTTTGACTTTTTCAGACATGTATGAAGTCAGAAAACATCTTGGGGCCAACTAGAATGTTTTCTTGGCGTTATTTTTTCCCTATGTTAACACCTGATGAAAGAGTCTGGTCTTAGTTAACAATCAGGCCTCATTATATGTTTGTTCTCATAAATGACTGCTCTGAGGAGCAACCTTTCACGAATAAGATGGGAGTTTGCAAAACGATGCTAAGCAAAAACTGAAGTAATCCATGATCTGCCGAGGTGATATTGAAGACATATCTCTCATGCACAGCAGACCTATGCATTAATCCTATGTTTTGGGGTCTTTAATTGCTTTAAATATTTGCTTCTAGATCTGTGTTTCACACATCTTATTTACATGGTTTATTTTTCATTTTCTGAACAAATCGATAACCAGACAGACTCTTTACCACACTGGATTAGTTTTATTTATTCTCTTTGAACTTGATTAAAAAGCTGTCAAACATAAGTCTACATTTTATCAGCAGAATACTCTTACAAAACAGGGTAGGAGATGCATATAGCTGGAAACATACATTTCAAAATGAAACAATATTTGATATATTCTAGACAGTTACCCTTTTGTTTATCCATGACAACTGAAACTAACCATCAAATGCATAAATTGATTCAAGTCTAGCCAAGTAATCCTAAGGGCATACGAAAAGGCTTTTTTTTTAAAGTTCTTTCTAGATGAATTTAATGTAGTTCACCAATAAAGCATCCTCAGGAGCACAATACAAATGCTACAGAACATGAGATAGCTGGGGAAAGCGGGCAGATGTACAGTGTGATGAAGAATCAAAATGGATGTTACATTAAAATAAGCAGTCATGCAACATCTTCATTTCATGTACTGCATTTAAGTAAAAATGCCAAAGTTCCAATTCCATTTTTAATTATTTTTTTTAGGCACTGTTATGCAAATAGTGACATTCTATCTTGTGGCTGTTGTTTTGTTGTAATTCCTTTTTTAACTCTTGAGGTAGGCAACTTTATTTATCATGTCTTTAGCTTTCAATATATATCAAATAGGAAGGTAAATTATGCTCAGATTAGGTACAAATGATCTGGTATTATTGTTTTAATTCATTGCTCTTAATATACATATTTTAATCCATTTCCCACAGATCTCCTCAATTATTATTTGTCTTTCTGTGCCATTGCGTATGTTGGTAAACAGCATTTTCTATGGTCTTTGGCCATATGCTGTATGCTCAGCTTGCAAAAAAAAAAAAAAGACACTTGGAGTGCTAGCATAATGAAACTCTCAAAGGGTTAATGCAGAATACATATAGGCAAATGTTGACAATATTTTTTATTCAAATGTTTGAAAATTAAACACAAAATCATCATTAAGTTTTCACAAAATGAGGCATCTGTTACTTGAAAGAAAAAGAAATATTTCAGAAATATGTTTACAGAAATGTAAAAATATTAGACATCAAGACAGATGTGAATGCTTTCAATAACAGGCCCTGTCTGTCAGTCTTCCTCAGAGCCGAAGATCTTGCTGTACTCGCTCAACATAAGTTCAACTATCTGATTTTGGTACAGCATGTGGACTGCCATGTTCCCTGTCTCCTTTTCAGGTCTAAGCAGTGTTGGTCCAAACACAATTCCTAAGCTTTGTGTTGACATAAGATTCACGGGTTCCTTGGCTGCTATCCTGTTGATGAAAGGAAAGAATTGGTTAAAAAAAGGGGGATTTCAAAGGAGTCACTGTTGCAGTATAGAGAGGCTCTTTTTTATTGATTCTTCTAACATAGATGGTTTTTTAGTTATCAAAGCGAAAGAAAAAAGGAGGGAAGAAACAGCTTCTGTCAACCTGACTGACAAGGAAATGCGAGTCAGCAACATGTGTGCAGGGTGGAGGTCTAGAGGCCCGTTTCCAGTGCTCTCATATCAGGGCATGATTTGCTGATTTCTGGTAAGTGAGCATTAGTTAGTGCGTGTACTATAAGGCAATAATTTCTGATCTTATGCATTTAGATACTGAAAATAGGGATTGTTTTTTATGCTAAGGGAATTGAGCACTTTTGGTGTCAACAGCTTTGGTGGCTCCGGGGAGAAGCTTCTTTGCTTCTCTTGACGAGGTCTCCAGCACTGAAAGAATTAGGAAATCAAAATAAGTCCCTTAATATATAGCTCATATGAAACACATTCCTTCTGCTAATTTAAATCCAATAAATTTAGTATGGTATGAAATGGATTGTGAAATTTATATAGCTAAAAACTTTTGCATGCTTTATCCTGGCACAGAATTTCTTGAAAGACACTGAGACCACATACCTTAATGAGATAACTTAGAAAATAATGGTAAGGATTCTAACCTTTGATATCTTTATTACACACAAAATTACAAGAGGAGGACTATTATTATTAAAAGTTGATCTTATGTCTCTATTAAGACAATATTCTTGTGGAAATGGAATTAAGGATGGAGAATTCTGGTCTAAGAACAATATAGGTTTAATGGGTGGAGTTTAGGTAGGCAGTTTCACATAAATCTCTGCAGTGGTGAGTATGAACGACGTAGAAATCCATTTCCTTCAATCCCAGAATATCTAATATATCCTAGGTTGGAAAGATTAGTAAATGAAGATACATATTCTATAAATAAATTTCACAGCTCTACCAAGGAATGTGAACTAAATGTAACTTTAATATGTAAATGCTTGAATTTATGGATGCTTCCTTAACCTGCTAGTTTTAACTTAAATATTCCAAGTGGACTGTTGAAGCCAAGTTCTGATTTCTCTCCCCCACAATTGTCAGTCATTTATTTTTTTTAAATCCAGACAGCAATTTAAAAATCATTATAGCTGTCTGTTTCCCCATACCTGTTGCTGAATTTACAGCAGGCCACACTGTAAGTGAAGGAACTTAATGAAACATAATTGTTTCAGTTACTTAAGAAAAAGTTTCTTTCATGTTATTGCAGGGGTTACATAGAAAAGAGCATGGTCTTGTAGATTTCTACCAATCTTGTGTATTACATTCCTCAAACATCAACATTTTGTTTTCTTCCCCCATTTATAAATAGGAAACATTACTTAGTTCTGCCTCATGTTTGTAACTATGGTGTCCATTGCAAAAAAAAGCCACTCTCCATATGGCACTTATAAGCTTGACTCAACTTTCTTCAAATATAATGTCTTCATTATAAATGAAAAAACAAAAACCCTAAAAACCCCCAGCTTTCCTCTGGGTAATATTAGCATATCATCTCTCAGGAGTTTGGAAAGTCTCAAAAGTTAGTAGTTTTGTTGGCAAATGACTGTGTGTGCTTCTGATGGACAACACACTTTTCACACATCATTATAAAAAATTTTTTGTTACATTTTTTTACAGGGGTGACTAGGTTGTTTTACTTAATGCCATTTATGCAGAAGCATATACATCAAGCTTGGGGCCTCCTTGTAAGAGAGGCTTTACTTCTGTTGAGCTTGTTACGTGTATTTGCAAATGACATCAGCACAGGTAGAGATGCTAGTTCACCAGGGGAAAAGAAAATATTTATCTTGCAAAACTTTAGAGATCATCAGTTTAACATCAGTTATGGTTTTCCAATGAGGTGGTGTTGGTAATGGATAGCATTGATGAAGCTAGAGGAGAAACACCATGCAGGGAGAAGGTGGCAGTGGACCATGGATGAAGATATGGTCCATGGTGAAGAACAGTGGTAGCAGAGCTCGATTTACTGAAGGAAGAGGAAGATTGACTTCTTTTATCTATAAAATTTGAAGCAAGATGCTGAGATCCTATGTTTGGCATGTGGACCCAGAAAAATGGAAGATGAATGGCCAACTCCGTGCTTGTTTGCCGTCTTTCTGCATCAGGATTCCCCCTGTTTTTCCTGGAGATGCCATTGTGCACGCCAAATCCTGTTTGAGTCCAACCATTGTCATCATGTGGTCTGCTGTTGCTCACCTCTCAGAAGGTGAACGTATGACATTAAAGGAAGAGAAGGTGTCCATGGCGTGTGTTGGTGATGGGGGGGAACCAGCTGTCTGTTGTGATTCATTGTTTTAGAACGTGGCACTAAATACACCATGTATATTTGGGGCCTCTAAGGTGGACACTAGAATAATAATTCTTGTATTCAGAACAACTCTTGAAAATATTTTTATCATCTATTCATGCAGTTGGACTCGTTTTGATCACTATAATAACAAAAAAGCCAAACAAACTTGGAAACATGGAAAATCTGAGTAGTTAAAAAATCTGTGGTAAAATACAGTTACTGGAGGGAAAGAAAGAATGAAGTCAATCATCCTCAATAAAATAGTTTTACGTTTAGGACCTTATGTCTTTTTAAATTACAAATATTTACCAGTGAAATTCTATATCTATTTTTTTTCATCTGTCCACAAAAGCAAAAGTCAAAGCAAACCAAAACCAAATCTGTCCAGTTAAAGCTATTATTGTAGCTACTAGGTGAAATTGAGTTGTTGAAATAGAAAATCCCTGTAAAATGGGCAAGTATTCTTTTTTTTTTGGCAAGAAAAAGAACAGGGTGATGCACCATTTACAACATAAAAAGTGAAAGAAAATGCCAGAGATACTTTTGTTCAAGGCCAAATGAAAGGAGCAATGGTTGATCAATTTAAGATTATTTTAGAAACAATCTATAATCCAGTGCCACAGATGTTGGAACTATATCAAGAAATTGTTGGGCATTGTGCTGTGCAAGACTATTTTTGTCCCCAAATAAATATGCTTCAAGAATGACATCAGTCCTTTATATCACAAGTCAGGAGATAAGCAGAAAGTACAGTTCTTATTAATAATAGTAATGAAATTAATGATGTATTAAAACAGAAGTGTATGATAGGAAGGCTCTGTGTCAGTGGCAGATACCTAAACAAAAATACTTGGAACTTATGCTTTGGCTGTTGCCAAGGCAACTGTAAGTTGGAAAGCGTGTGACTGAGAGAAGGGCAAGTCTACAACTAAGAGGGTCATTGTATGGTGAGTTTGCCTTTCTAGTTCCATTAAACCTACTCTTTTCAAACTCTCTAAATAAAATCATTATTAATTTTGACATTTGGAAAGCACACTGGATTATTACTTCAAAGACACTAGGTATTATAAAATGGTCTTCATTTATTTTTACCCCGTAATAATTGCTGAGGAGGGGAAAGCGTTTCAACATTGACTGATTCCTCAACATTTTAATATTCTTAGTGCACATAAAAAAATAAAGAAGTCAGTATACTTAAGGATGAAAGCCCTCATGGAAAGTGCACCATTTTATAGTGAGCTGGAGAGTTTGTGTGTACAGCTGTCCTCTACTATCTGTATTGAGAACTGCTCAGTCTTGCTTACTTAGCCTTTCCCAGCCTATGAGGATTTAAGTTTGCTCAATGTCAGGGACATTCTTTTTCTTTGAAGAACTGGTTTTAGCCATGCCTAGTACTCTTTTACTGTTTTAAATTATACCTAAGGGTAACTTTTCACTAATACAACCCTGCTACTCTTCCATGAACTGGTAACATAGACTATGACTAAAGGGCAACACATTACAAAATGAGGGCATCAAAAGAGTAAGACCAAGTCACTTGCTAAAATATTATGGGCCAGAATGGCAGGTGTAGAAATCACCTCTGAATTAAGTAGAAGGCAGAGGGACAAAAGCAGGTTTTGATCTTATCAGAATCCTGTTTACTAGCATTATGAACAATATTTGATTTAACTAGGGAAGCCATTGCCATGGGAGGCAGAAACCAATATCTAAACGGAGTCCAAGAAAGAGTGAAGATGCATGGGAATAGAGAAAACTGCCCAGAAAGGAGAGAAAATTATGCATTTATGACATCTGTCTTCTTTGTATAACAATAACCTCACAGAATTAGGAAGCAACTCCTCTTTAAATGGATTATTCCATGACAACCCATTTGGGTAGGTTTTGTACTTTTGCTGAACTGTGCTAGCAACCACTGTCACAGTCAGAGGTGCTCATTACCATGGACAAGGAGGGTGATTCAATGTGTAAGTTCCTATGAACCACCTTAATGGATCAAAGTCTGCACATCCCATTGATTCACTTTACCAGTAATTATCCTTAAATTAGCTAATATCTGTTTCCTATATAGACACAGGCATATGCAAATGTAATGTTCTAGCTTAAGGACTTGGTCATGAGAATATCTCAGCTGCCTTCAACTCACCTCAGATCTAATGCTGTTAACAGGCCTTTTCACTGCTCTGTTATGGGCCAGTTTTTATGCAGCAGTTTTCTGAATTTTGTTATTGCAGAGCTACCAGTCAATTTGAACATTTTAAAATTTGACTCATGCTGAACAGGTTCTAGCTCAACATTTTATGTTCCTCTCCTTCATAAATGCTGGCTCACAGGAGTTAAAAAATAACAGGTATTACGTACTTTGCTTCAGTGACAAGACATTTGGGAAGAAATCATCCAACCTTGAAATAAAATCTATATTGAAAGCAATTCTACATCCATGCCAGTCAGATACATCGTGGGATCAGCAGAGGTGTCCCAGGGGAAAACTTGATGTGATAGACAGGGTTGATTACTTGGACCTCCTGTCAGTTCTTAACTCCTTGACAATAGCTGAGACATTCAGTACAACTTTGTTTTCTTTATTTGGAAGTAAAGTTAATATACTTACCTTAACTGTGCCAAATGTACTGGAAAATAAC